GAGATGGAACCACTGGTGCGAAGCCCTGATGGGGGAGGGCTGGGTGTGCAGGAGGAGGGTGGGGCCTGCATGGGGAGGTACGTGAGGGGAGGGTGCGGGACTGTCTGAGAGGTCCGCCGAGGCAGGCCGAGGAGGGCTCATGGGCTGCAGCGGGCAGTCTGGACTCGGTCTTAAGTGGAGTTGAATCCAACAAGCGGAAAGGTGGATCTTTTAGAACGCTGGCTCTGGCTACTGAGCGGGAAGTGAGTCACGGGATGGCGGTGGGGGTCGGTAGTGGAGACAGGGAGACAAGTCAGGAGCCCCCCACCTTCCCCAGGTGCGAGATGACGGTGGCCTGGAGGAAAGACAGAGACCAGTGGGCCAGGGAAGGTCCACAGTTGACCCTTATTGTTCGCGGGTTCCGTGTCTGCAAACTCACCTGCTCGTCAACTTGTGACCCCCAAATCAAAGCCCGTGGTGTCTTCCCCGTTGTTCACACGCATGTGCCGAGCAGTGGAAAGCACATGACCAACACACACACATTTCCAGCTGAAGTCAACAGTGACGCTCCGCCTTCTTGTTTCAGCTCTCGTCCCGCGAACCGGGGCCCTTCCCGCCGTACAGTCGCGTGTCACTCAACGATGGGGACATGACGATCTGAGAAATGTGTCTTTAGTCGATTTCATCGTTAAGCGGACGTGAGCGTATACTCGCACACGCCTGGGGGTGCAGCCGATCACGCCCCGCAGCTGCCAACTCGAGCGGCCTGTTGTCGTGCTGAATGCCGCGCACGGCTGCGCACAGTGCTCAGTGTTCGTGTGTTTAGCGTACCTAAACATTGAAAAGGTGCAGTCAAAATACAGTGCAAAAGAGAATAAATGGCACGCCTGCGCAGAGCCCTCACCACGAACGGAGCGTGCGGGACTGGAGGCTGCTCTGGGCGAGCCGGCGAGAGCGTGAGGGGGTGTGACCGCCCAGGACGTCACCGAGCGCTGCTGGGCGCTTTATAAACACTGCACACTCAGGCTGCACTAAATTTATAAAACACATTTTTTCTTCCTCCAATAACAAATTACCTTAGCTTACTGAGACTTTTTTACTTTATAAATTTTTCAATTTTGTTTAAGTTTTTGGCCCTTTTGTAATAACACTTAACTTAAAACACAAACACATTGCACAGCTGTACAAAAAATATTTTCTTTCTTTATATCCTTATTCTATAAGCTTTTTTCTATTAAAAAAGTTTTGTTTTTTTTTTTTACTGTTTAAACGTTTTTGTTAAAGACCAAGACACAAGCACACACATTAGCCTAGCCCTACACAGAGTCGGGGTCATAAATATCACTGTCTTCCACCTCCGCATCTTGTCCCACTGGAAGGTCTTCGGGAGCAAAACACTCATGGAGCTATCGTCTACGACCGCAATGTCTCCTTCTGGGAGACCTCCTGCAGGACCGGCCTGAGGCTCCTCTTAAAGAGGGGTCACTCTTTTCAGAATATGTCCATAGTGATTTGCTTGGTTTGTTTCTGTTTTTAATCATAGATTTGCATGTAAGCAGATAATGCCCCATGAACATTCTTCTCTATTAATGAAAACCTTTTGGTGTTGGGGTCCATGTGTTCAAACTTTTTAAGGAGGCTGTTGAGGTCTGCAAAAGCCTAAACCATTTTTTGTTGTTGTTGTTGTTGTTTTTTGTTGTTGTTAGCCAACATTTCCTTCTGTCACCCTGGGTACCTGGGTATAGTGCAGTAGTGTCATTGTAGCTCACAGCAACCTCAAATTTCTGGGCTCAAGCAATCCTCCTGCCTCAGCCTCCTGAATAGGTGGGACTACAGGCGTGTGCCACTGTGCTCAACTAATTTGTCCATTTTTTATAGAGACAGGGTCTCGCTCTTGCCCAGGCTGTTCTCGAACTCCTAAGCTCAAGCGATCCTCCTGCCTTGGCCTCCCAGAGTGCTAGGATTACAGGTGTAGCCACTGCACCCAGTTCTGCTAAACCTTTCACTGTGAATGTTCTTGGGGGTTCTTCTGTTTCTTCTCCTGCAGTTACACTTTCTCCTGCCTCTTCAGCTACGTGTCCCTGTTCCAGCTCCAGCAGCTCCGCATTAGTGGATTCCCCAGGAACCACCTCTGGGAGCTCCTTAACGTCACCCTCGTCCACACGCAGGTTACAGTCCCCCTTGCCGTCTCAGCCACAGCCTTGTTCATTTTTGCCACCCATTAATCCTAGGCAAATCCTTTGAAGCCGTGGACAAACCTCTTGAGTGTCTTCTTGCAGATGCCATTCATACACGCCTTGGTGACATCGCCCAAGCCCAGGCGAGGTTCTTGATGCAGCCGTAGGTAGAATCCTTCCAGAATTACACTGGTGTCTTCTCGGTGTCCTCCTCCATTGCACCAGCAGCCTGGACAAAGGTGCTCCCCAGGGCGTAGGCCTTAAAAGCTGCTGTCATTCCTTGGTCCACTGGTTGGATCGAAGAGGTGGTGTTTGGAGGGAGAAATACCACTTTGATATTGGGATGAAGATCACCACTAAAGAGAGAAAGGGGGGAGCATTATCATCAAGAGGCAAAATCTTGAGAGGTACGTTGTTCTCCAGCACTGCGTCCCCATTCCGCTGGCGCAGAGACTCAGGAGGGCATCTAGGGGGAGGAGCTGGTCGCCCGCCACTGCTTCTTGCTCCTGTGGCACGCAGCTGGCGTGTGCTTACGAACGTGCCCTGGGCTTCCCAGTGGGCAGATGAGAAATCAGCCTGTAGCCTGCAACACGCCCCAAGCAAGATCGTCACCTTCCAGAACAGGGAGGCTTCGTCCACGTTGAAGGCTCGCTCTGCCAAGTAGCTTCCCTCCACAACCCGCTTGTCTAGAGTCCCCAAAAACGCTTCGCTGCCTCCGCATCAGCACTTGCAGACTCGCCGCTCGCTTTCACATTATGTAATGAGTGACGGTTCTCAGATCCCTTGAAGCTCCCAGAGCCAGCTGCAAATTCAACATTGGGTCAGGTCCAGCCTTTCCTTTCAACACTGCCAGCAAACGCTCTGCTTTGGCCGCGATTGTCGCAGTGCCCAGAGGGACACGCCCCTGTGCCTGGTCTTCCACCCGGGGGGTTAGAAGTTGCTCCATAGCTGATGCAGGCCCCTCTCCAATTTCTGTTGGTCTCGTTGCCTTCAGTAAAGCAGATCCTTTAACGGGATCCACCACTTAGTTCTTGTGCTCGAAGATCGCAGCCACGGCGGAAGGGGACACGCCCGCCTGGTGGGCAGTAGCCCTCTCTGACTTTCCCCCTTCGTGGTCCCTAGTCGCTTTCAATTCTGTTTCCAGGCCAGTCCCTCAATACGGCCTCTAAGGCAGCACTGGCCATGATTTTGCGTGCTTAGGAGCCCTGGTGAACAAAACGATACGAAATTAAGTCAGGAGAAAATAATGCAGCCAGGAGAGAAGGGAAACACAAGGTGTATGAGGCTGCTGCCGGAATAACACGGCACACTGTTTTCCAGTAAACCTTTTTTTTAATAAGTGGGCGTGCACTCTAAAAAAATAATGATAAAAAGTATAGTATAGCAAATGCCTAAGCCAGAAACATAGTCGTTTATTATCACCAAGTATTGTGTACGGTACATACGTGCACGTGCTATTCTCTGACAGGACTGGCAGTGTGGCGGCCTGTTGACAGCAGGGTCACCGCAGACACTTGCGGAACGCGTTGAGCTACGCGTTATGAGGCTGCAGCGTCACTAGGCAACTGGAGTTTTTCAGGTCCATTATGATTTTACGGGACCACCATGGTATTTGCGGTCTGTCGTTGGCCGAAACGTCATGCAGCGCCTGACTGTGTTTAGTGCCACGTGTTTCACACGTTTGTGCTTTTTCTTGGTAATTTCGCTGTTTAAAATGGTCCCCAAACGTGTCACTGAAGGTCTGTCTGGTGTTCCTAAGTGCAAGGAGACTGTGGTGTGCCCTACAGAGAAAACACATGCGCCTGACAGAGACAAGCTTCACTCAGGCATGGTTACAGTGCAGTTGCCATGAATTCATTGTTAATGAATCAACAATATCTATTGCATAAAGTGTCTGTAAACAGAAAGCACACATAAAACAAGGGTATGTATAGATGGGTTGATGAAATGTTGTGAGCAGAAGCTCCCAGGAGCCTCACCCCGTTTTTCCCCCAAGGAGCAGTGATTCCGTGCCCGCTAAGTCAGCGTTTGTGGCGCCTTTGTGGGCCATAGCTACTGCAGACGAGAATCAGCTATACTTCAGGGCGGAATCAGCAGAACTCGGCATCAGAATTGGATGTGGAGAGAGGAGGAAGCACCCAGGAGGACTCCCACATTCCTGGCCTGCACCCCAGGCAGGCCCACCCCTCACATTTGGGGCGTGGGGCAGGACTCCCGACAGAGGCCCTGGATCGAGGCCCACCCGCTTTCCCCTCCCACCCCCAGCTCCGTCCCCCCCTGCAAGGGACTCACACACATCACATTCAGGCTCCGTCCAGGCAGGCCACCCAGCAAGCGGCAAGCCTTGGCTGGCCCGGGCCGAGGGCTGCAAGCGGGACTGCTGTCTGGGGGTGCACGTGGGGGTGAAGCCCAGGCAGGTCCTGCAAGCCAGCCTGGGGCGACGCCCAGAGCACTCAGAGCATCTGGGATTCGTGAGGTCCCTAGAGTCTGGCCTAGAAAAAGGGAGTGTGAGCTCCGAGCGGGCATGTCCCTTTGGCTCCGGGGACTCGTCACCTCATGCGAGAGCTGCGTGGAGCAGAGCCGGAGAAGGACCCGTTACACTGCGCTGCCCGGGGTGGCAGCCACTCACCACGGGTGGCCCCTGAGCACTTCAGATGGGGCTGGTCCCACAGAGAAGGGCTGTAAGTGTAAGATACTTACTGGATTTTGAAGACTTAGTATGTGGAAAATATATCTCAGTAGTAATTTTTATATTGGTCATTTGTTGAAATGACAATATTTGAATATATTAAATGACAAATGTTGTTAAAATTAATTTCACGTCTTTTTGCTTTTCTTTCAAAGGGCTACTAGAGAATTTGCAATGACAGATGCGGCCCACATCTTATTCCTACTGCACAGAGATGCTGTAAGAGTGTGGAGCCGGGGCCGGGGGCAGAGGCTCAGTGGTGCAGGTCCCGGAGTGGGAATGGTGATGCAGTCAGGCCCAGAGCCGGGGAAGACTGGGCTTGAAGAAGGGGGACAGGGACGACCGCGGTAGCGCTGGATGCCGTGTGGCCACCAACCTGCTCACCACCGTCCTCCCACTTCCAACAGGCATCAAGATTTTGCCATATTTACATCTTATCTGAGATTCCTTGATTTAATGATGATTAAGATTTCTCCAGGTAACCCTTGGAAGGGTAGTATGGAAGATTACAAAAAAGGCCACAAATTCTTCCCCCCCATCAAGAGGTGGAGTCTATTTCTGCACCCCCTTTTTTCATTTTTTAAACCCCCCTGATGTTCTCCAGGGTGTTTCTGCCCCCTGTGATGCTGGGCTGGCCCTGCTACTTGCTTTGGCCATGGACATTGGCAAACATAACTCAGGCAGGTGCTTGGAAAGTGCTAGTGCATCGGGTCTTGCTCGTCCTTGCTGCTCTCGGAATACTGCTGCCTGGGGAAGAAGCATCCGTGACCCCATGTTGCTAGCCTCCCTGCACCCACGCCCTTTGCATGTGATTTGAAGTTCCTCCCACCATGAAAGAGGTAGAGTCCATTCCCTCAGTCCTTGACTCTGGCTGGCTTTATCGCTCTCAGAGGGAGTGAGCTGTGCCCGTGCGAAGCCTGGATCAGAGACCACGAGGGGCAGAGCCAAGTCGGTACAGTGCTCCCCGCTGAAGCCATCTGAATCCGGCCATTCCCCAGCTGACCCGAGGTTGCAGACTCGTGAGCAAGCCCAGCAAAGAGCAGCCACGCCGGGTCCAGAGCAGACAAACTGCCCGGCCAGTCTGCAGACTTGTGAGCTAAATAAATGCTTCCAAGTCATTCAGTTTGGGGTTGTTTGTTACTAGGCAAGGGTCAACCATTAGAGTGACACATATATAGACGACATTTGAACTTGGGTGTGTCAGACCTGATTCCCAAGTTGAAGATCTTAACCACTGCGCCCCACCATTTGCATTCAAATTCCGAATGCTGACACCCAAAGCTTGGAGGTGAAGAAATCGAGGGCTAATGACGGAGTCATCACATCTCCGCCGGCAACAAGGGTGGCTGCCCCATGCCGAGCCACCTTCAAAGAGCACAGCATCTGAACTTTCGGTCGGGGATAAAACATTAATAAGGAGGCCCCGCTGGCCTCGGGGATGACAATTACTCTTTGAGATGCCAACTGCAGTTATTTTCCTGGTCGGGGATTATTAGGCTCGTCCTCCTGTGTCTATTGTCAGGACCCGGGAAGGGGCTGCCTTGCAGATCCTGTTCTGCCTCGATAATTACCCATTATGAGAGAGAGCCCGCACCTCTCATGGAAGTCTTCCTAATTTCCAGCATTTACTAAGCACTTTATATTTGCAAACTCCCCCAAACTTCTATTCATACAATTCTTTAGATTTGCTTTTTGGATGAATTTAAAAGCCACTTTGATGATATAATCACTATACTTTGCGTTAGCACTTTTCTCCGCGGTATTAGAATAATTTGTAGATAGTTTTCCAATTCACCTCGCCGCACCCCTGTGAGCTGGGGGGGCGGGAATCCTGGGGAAAAGAAAGAAGCCAGGTTTTGTTTTCTTTTTCACTCTCTCTGCTTTACCAAAATGGGGACTTAGATTAAGTTTTCTGCTGCTGCATAATAAACTACCGCAAATTTCAAGGCTTAACACTACACACACATTCATTCATACGCTCACGGTCTCTGTAGGTCAGGGGTCTGGACACGGCTTAGCGGGGTCTGCTTCAGGGTCCCCCCAGGCTACACTCCTGGGGTCGGCCAGGGCTGCAGTTTCAGCAGAGGCTCGACCAGGGAAAGGGCAGCTCGGAGCTCATTCGGGTTGGTGGCAGAATTAATCTCCTTGGAGCCCTGGGTCTGAGATCGCCCTTTCCTTGCCGGCTGTCCAGCCCCTACAGGCTGACTTCAGTTCTTTGCCAAGTGGCCCTTTCCATAAGCCACTCACGACAGGCAGTGTACTTATTTCTTGGAAGCCCGCAAGAGAGAGTCCTTCTCTCTTCTTTCTCTCTCCAGTGTGCTAAGACGGAGTCTTCATATACAAACATAATCACCTCGTCACCTCCCATCACCTTTGCCGTATTCTATCGGTTAGACGCAAGTGGCACTCTCAAGGGGGTGGGGGCTCACGAAGGCACGACTGTCAGGAGGCAGGATGTCACTGGGTCCCTTCAGAGCCTGTCCGTCATGTTAAGTGGTGGGCCCAAGCATGCCACAGCACCTTGGACACCGTGCTCACTGCTCAGGGTGGTGGCCTCTGCATGGGGGCCCACGTGCGTGCACATACTCATCCCCACCCATGTGCTCGGGCCACCTGGGACACGGCATGCTCACCAGCGTTCCCCAGGACCTGAAGTCTCCTGGTCTCCCATCAGAAGTCCAGGTGAAGGGGTCACCCAGCTTGAAGAGTGACCCTCCCACACCCTGGTAGACCTCGTGATGAGCCATGGCCACCGAGTTGATACCAGAAAACAAGGAAAGAGAACCCAGCGTGGAGTGAGAGCTCGGCCCGCGCTCACCATTTCCATTATTCCTGGAAAGGAGCTTGCAGGCCAAGGGCAGAGCGGCCTGACCTCCAATGTGCTAGAGGTGTATACAAGGGTCCCAGGCTTGCGGTGCTTTGACTTATGATTTTTCAACTTTATGGTGGTGTGAGAGCGACATAGACTCAGCAGAACATCAATAAATTACCGGAGATGTTCAACACTTTGTTATAAACTAGGCTTTGTGTTGGATGACTTGCCCAGCTGTAGGCTAATGTGCTTAAGGCCGGCTGTGCTTACTCTGATGTGTGGTGGGTTAGGAGGCCTCCAGGTGACCCAGGAGGTTGAGTGACTTTCCCAAACCACACACCTGCAGGCGGCAGAACACAACCCCGAATCCAGGCTCTGAAGCAGCAGCTGGTCTGTATCTGCCTCTCTCCATTCCCGAGTTCTCAGGTTTTGCTGCAGCCAGTCGCACTGGATCCCGTGTTTGTGCCACCAGCTTCTTCTGTGGCCTCGTTCCACAGCCTGCCTTGGTTACCCAGGGTTGGGGTGGCGGCAGCCAGGCCCTCCCTTCAGAGTGTCAAGGCTGAAGCACTCAGTCTCTGCCTCTCTCTCCGTCTATCTCTCTGTCTCTGTCTGTCTCTCTGTCTCTGTCTGTCTCTCTGTCTCTGTCTGTCTGTCTGTCTGTCTGTCTCTCTCTCTCTCTCTCTCTCTCTCACACACACACACACACACACACATACACTCACTCGCTCATACATATGTTTTCACATCCAGCCTCTTTTAAAGAAGACAGACCAAAAAGCGCCCTACATTCTCGTTTGTTCTATGGAACAGTCTGAACCCAGCCCGTGCAATCATGGCCATTTTATTTTGCTGGCCCTGACCTGCCCTGGCTGCTCTCCCTTCAAGTTCTTTAATGTCACCCAGGCAGGCCCCACAACTTCCCAGGCACTTTGTAAATACCTAAGGTCCAGTCCAGAGCCAAGTGGGTCAGAACTTCAAGGGCTACTTAAAGTACAGCCCAGCTCAGACTTGGCGGGGACCGTCCCTGTGGGGGCAGGGGGGCGGCAGGCAGAAAAGGCAGCTCTCCCCCCACTCTCCTGGCCTGGGGTACACACCTCCTCTGGAGCGTTGGGACCAGGAGGGGGACACAGAAGGGCCAGCGTGCTTCTCCCCGACTGCCATTCAGGGCCTCCCAAACCTGGCTCCCTCTCACAGGGGGTGGGGGGACAAGGGAGGTCTGCAGGGACCTCAGTCACCTCCTCCCTGGGGGGGCGGTCCCCTTTCATGTCTTGCTATGGGGACCACCCTCACTGGGGCCAGCCCTTTTGTACATAGGTCAGCAAGACAGCTCCGCCACGGCCCACCCGAGCCCTGCGTCCTGGCCACACCCAGTGGGGGCACGCATATGGACTCCCCCGACCCTGGCACCGCTCTCCGCCCTGCCCTCCCCGGCTCCCCTGCTCGCTTCTGTCTGGGGTAGCGAGGACGCCCAGAGGCGCCGAGATGCCAGGGGCCCTCCAGGCAGCCCTGTCCTCTGCAACACCGTCTTGGAGCCGCGCCATGAAGCTTGGCGGCGGGACCACCTCTGCCTACCTCACGCCCCCGCTTGGCCGACAACGTGTTTCTCAGAATTCCTCCCGCACCCCAAGGTTTGGTTCACACAGGCTTGGGGGGGGTCTGCATTCGTGCGTGTGACTCGGGTAGGGGGCCGTTTAGCCTCCTCTTAGTGAGCCCGTGGCCGCGTCTGAAGGTGGGGCCGCTCAGCGTCCCTTGCTTTGAGCTTTGTCCCTCAGGCAGCAATTCCAAGGAAACCGACAGCCCGTCCCCCCCACGACATCCCCCCCCCACGTCCTCGCTTTCCCAGCTCGCAGACCCAAAGGAGCACACCAAGCGCTTTCCCCACAATGCAGGCGCTAAACTGGGCACGGATGGCACCTTCCCTTGGAACAGGTTTGTCCCGCACAAGGCAATGGGCTGCAGGCAAGATCGCAGCGTCACCGCTTGCCGGAACTGGCCATTGCCAGAATACATCCGTCGGTGGCCCCAAGTATGGGCAAAGCTTCGAAGTCGACTAGAGCCAGTAAGTAGAACTTTGACCCACCAGGCTGGTGGGTTTTGGGGTGCGGGCAGTGCCTGGGACACGGGTTCTGCTCCAGGACCTCCGCACAGTGTGGTTTTTTAAGCCCCATTTATTTCCCCCCTACAGGGCCTGGGCTGTGCCAGGTACCTGGCGAGTAGTCTCTCTCTTAGTCTTGCTGACTCTGTGAGGCGGGACCCATGTCTCCTATTTTACAGAAAAGGAGACAGAAGTTCAGAGGAACTTTCCCAAAGACCAACAGAACAGGTAGTAGTGATGGAACCAGGGTCTGAAACAAGTCCGATTCCAAAATCTATAGCCTTGACCACTCTGCCATGTGACCTCCCGAAAGTCTCTGCAGTTAGAGCGCAGCGGTAAAGCCCTTGGCTCTGGAGTTGAACCAGCCTGTGTTCGAATCCCAAATTGGCCACCACCTCACTGTTTTGACTTGGGCTTCCCACACAATCTCCTTGCGCTACCCCCATCTCCTCATCTATAAAATGGACATCCTGATAGCACTGTCTTCATCAGGCTATTGTGAGGAATAGTGAGAGCTTCCAGGACCACCACATATGGTTGTTCAAGCTGGGCACTGCCCAACTCCAGGCTGCTGAGCAGTGCGCAACCTCTGCAGCTGTGCTTGGCAGCTCTGTTTCACACAGTGCCTGGCACAGAGTTCCTGCTCAATGAGAGGGAGCTCTTAATTCCTAGGGGCCATTCGCCTGGCAGTGAAGAGGAAGAGGAAGACAATCCCCCTGGCTCTTCTCCCCCTGGGCCCAGGCAGCTGGGAGAAGCTGACTTCTCAGCTGCTCTCACTCCTCCCCAGCTCCCTGAGAGAGCACTTCTCTAGGAGTCCCCAGGAAAAAGCCCTGAAGAGAGGAAGCAGAGGGGACTGATCAGGCAGGGGGCCATGCTCGAAGAGACCATGGGCTGCCCAGGCCCGCTGCGGTGGGCTCAGAGGTTTCCAGGCGCTGCCCTATGCTCGGTAGCCTCTTTCAGAGGATTCGGGGAGAGAAGCCCAGAATGGAGGGGCTGTGGGCCCCCCGAGACTTTGGAAGAGAGAATTCAGCTGGCTGTCTCCTCTGGCACCAGGAGTCCAAAGACAAGGGCTCCCCGAGGCACAGTGACAGAAGAGAGGGTGAGGCCCCCCTCGCCTGCGTGGGCCCCGGGAGGAGCCGGGACGAGGCAGGCGCTGCGGGTGCGTCTGGAGGCTGGGAAGGCGTAGACGCGTCCTCTGTGCAGCGAGTGGGAGGCGGAGTTCAAGTCACAGCAACGAAACTTACTAAGAGAGGGAGTGCTCCCCAGGTGATACTAGGCCCCTAAAGGTGGTGAGTTCCCTGTCCTTGCAGGTGTGCAAGCAGAGACGCTGAAGAGGGGATTGCGCATCAGGTGAGAAGTATTGACTGAGTAACTTTCATGGGCAGCACGGCTGAGGGTTAGGAACACAGGCTCTGGAGCTGGGGGGGGGGGCGGGTCAGGTCCTGCTCAGCTTCTTGCTAGCAAGTTACTTCCCCTCCCCGCACCTGCTTTCCGCATTGGTAAAATGATGGCTGTAGTGTTCTCCTCGAGGGTTGGTTCTCGGATTAAGCAGTTAATGTCTCTATA